TGCTTCCTCTGTCAGGAATTATTTTTACTGCTTTACGTGTTCCCAGTTGGGTAACTCTTCCTAACATTTTACCAGTCAATTCTCCCATTTTGTCCTCTAAAATGAAATTAATGGAAGATCAAAGGGACAACTCCCTTTTGAATCCTTAGACACTCTAAATGATCTCTATATTCTCTTTGTGGCTTCTTTGACTGACAAGTGTATGTTGCTGAATTATTTCTCTTTCAAATCCTTAAATCCAAGCTCAAATGAATAAGACTAAGGGACATTATGAAGAGCTGTATTCCACTGTAGTTTTCCAATTTAACATTTTTGGTGAAAAAATAAATTTGATGAATAAAACAACAAAAAGTTTGTGTGGCATTTTCCTCCAGCTAAATGATGGACTTATTGTTTCATTATTGCTCAACATATTTCTGACTTACTGCCATTATTTAGGGGTGTATATTCTTCTCCTGAAAATAGTGGCAGTAGAATTGTAGCAATTTATATCAGTTGAACAGAACAAGTCACATTGTACTAAGGTACCAAAATTTCACTTTATTTGAAATAACAGGTTTTCTTGCTCAGTCAGTTGCCTTCCTTTCTGATTTCGTTACAGCTAATCCCCAATTGGGGGGGGGGCAGTGAGAAACCAGAAGGGATAAGGTTATTAGCACACAGCTCTCTGGATGGAATTTTTTTTTTTTTCATTAAAGGAACCACAGAAACACCCTACCCTTTCTAGAATGTGAGGACAACACAAGAAGGCCACAGAATAGGCAGGTGGACTTGGCACAGCAGATGCATTAGGGCCTAGCCTTGTGATTCCAACCTTCCAGAACTGTGAGAAATACATCTTTCCATTTACAAGATCTCTTGGTTGTGGTAATTTTTCATAGAAGTCTGAGTGAATTTAGGTACTCTCATTCATGGGTGTCTTGGTATTTGAGATGAAGAGGGCAGAATTCTGGGCAACACTTAATAAAGGAGAAAATTTACACAGTGCAGCACATGGTGCAATAATCCTTATCAATTTCTGTGTCCTTCTATGCCTGTCTCTTTCATTCCTCCACACCCTGGTCCTGTCTCACTTTTTCTTGTTTCTATTTTTACTCCAGTTGTTTATACACCCACATTTGATTATCCAGAGATAGCACCCAGAGATGAGAGAGAACGTGTGGTTTTATCTTCTTGCTCCATTACTCCATAATATTTTCTATTCATTGCCTACAAATTTCATTTTTCTGCAACGGAATAGTATTACATTGTGTACATGAATCATATTTTTCACTGTTTGTTCATCTGGTCAAGAACATTTAGGTTTCTTTTGTTTCCTAGTTTTGTGACTAAAAAAGCAATGAACATAGCTGAGCAGTTATCTGTGGAATAGGAACTTAAGTCCTTTGGACACATGCCAAAGAGTGGCATAATTGTGTCATATCATAAAAAAACACAAGGGTGATGAGGAAGGCTGAGTGCATAAAATGCTCGCCTTGCAAGCTGGAAGATCTAAGTTCATACTCCTAGAACCCAAGAAAAGCTGAACTTGGTAACACACATAAATAACCGCAGCATTCTTGTGCCAAGCTGGGAAGAGGAAACAGAAGAATCTCCAAAAGCTCACAACCTATGCAACGATGACTACCAAGAAACCTTGTCTCAAAACAAGGTAGAAAAGAAACCACACACACACACACACACACACACACACACACACACACATTGAAAATGAAAACAAACAAACAAAAAACAGAAAGGAAACTTACCTGGAAAATCCTCCTGAGCATGGGATGTCCGTAGCTTAAAAATATATTTTGTCCTAGTCTTTCCAAGAGTGCTCGAAATACAAAACTCCCTAGGATACCTGAATTTGCTTTTGAACTGACTCACTGAGAATAGAGACAGCAATGAAAGAATAAATGAATGCATCTCCTCAGCTATTGTCACAGGATTATTCAGTCTTCTCTCTGTCTTTTTCATTCAAGTATCTCCAGTGTGACAGTGTAATTCTCTGTTTGCTTTGTCTTCATTATATTTTGTATTTTTAAGTATAATTCTGAACATTATTTTGGTTTATACCTCAAGAATATTTATTATTTTTAACTACCAAAATTTAAATTTAAATTACACGAAGCTACTGTGCCTTTCTAAATAGTGGAATCAACATTTTTTATTTCCTTTTACTTTGAAAACATTAGGTCTTAAAATAGCACAATTTCTTCAAAACTAGGCAATATTTTTCAAAGGAAATAGAGTCAACATTGTTCTTTTCCATTTTTTAATTTAAATTAGAAACAAGATTGTTTTACATGTCAATCCCAGTTCCCTCTCCTTCCCCACTTCCCCTCCCCCCCAACATCCTACTTATCCCATACCCTTTCTGCTCCTTAGGGAGGGTGATGCCTTCCATGAGGGGGGTTTCAGAGTCTGTCATATCCTTTGGGATAGGGCCTAGGCCCTCCCCTGTGTGTCTAGGCTGAGGGAGTATCCCTTCATGTGGGATGGGCTCCCATTGATTTCCGAGGCCTCCTCACTGACACCCATATTCAGGGGTTCTGGATCAGTGCCAGGCTGGTTTCCCAGCTATCAGTATGGAGACCATGAGCTCCTCCTTGTTCAGGTCAGCTGTTTCTGTGGTTTCACCAGCCTGGTCTTGACCCCTTTGCTCATCACTCCTCCTTCTCTGCAACTGGATTCCAGTTCAGTTCAAATGGATGGAACTAGAAGAAACCATTCTGAGCAAGGTAACCCAGTAACAAAAGACAAACATGGTATGTACTCACTCATATATGGATTTTAGAATAGAGCAAAGAATTACCAGCCTACAATCCACACTGTCAGAGAAGCTAGGAAACAAGGAAAACTTGTCCCCAGAGAAGGGGAAAGGGACAAGATCTCTTGAGCAAATTTGGAGCATGGAGGGAGGAAGAGGAAGCTAGGAGAATGAGAAGGGGAGAAGAGGAAGGGAGAGGAGGACATGAGGGAGCAGGAAGGTTGAGTTGGGGGAAGAATAGAAGACAGGGTTAGTCTCAGCTGGTGAAACTATGGAGATTTGGGGCACTTCATTGGTGAGGCCTAGCTGAAAATACAGGAACTAGGGAGATGATTTAGGGGACTATAACTTGTCCTCGGCCTGCCTCCACTAACTTTGTCCCCTTCCCTCCCATTCTCGTGCGAATTGATCTGTACTCTCATGCCTTCCCTGTCACTATGAAGTGTGTCCTCTGCAATCATCACCTAAAATAAATAACCCCTCCCAATAAGTTGTTTAAGTCAGCTGTTTTAACCAAGGGGTAGGTAAGACAAAACAGAAGGCTTGGACACACATTATAGAGACTACTTGAAGTCAGAGAAAGAACTTGCCTTGTCCCTTATCTAATGCTAGGGTCTGGTAGACAGAGCTATGAAACTCAAGGGCTATAGGTAGATAAAACTGCAAAAAGGCAAGGACATGTACTCCATGCCTTGTTTGTCCCTGACTGTTTTCATTGCTGCTGCTATGCATCCAGTATGCCAAACTACACACATGGTGACTCTTGTCCTCATTTCCATCCTTAAAAACAACTTCCATTGTATCCTGTCACTGGAGCAACCCATTTCCTTTTCACAAAGTGTCTTTCAGAGAAAAAGGACTCTCACAGCCACAGCTGCATACACTGTATCCAGATAAATTGATGACGTGCAAGTAAGCTAGAGAAACAGTAAGTACACTGTGGAACACAAACAGAACATAGCCAGCATAACTTACAAGTTGGCGTCCTAAGAAACATACATGGCAAAGTCATTAATGAGGAAAGTCACATCATAAAACTAATAGAGACACTGGGTCTACCAAATACACACAAACATCAATATTGTGATGTAGGGTTACAAGAAATGTGAAAAACGAGGTCCTATGGTCTGTAACAGAACATAGTAACTATAGCAATGAATTCCAGTGAAAGAAATATACACATGTCAAGTAATTAATACAAAATCACAAGCATTAGGATACATGTGAGCCTTCTGAGAGTACAATTACAATTGCAATTGACATAAAAAAGAAACTCATCAGCAGAGAGACAGGGGTGGGGGTGGGGAGATCCTGGAATAAACCAAACAGAAATCTAGGAAATTAAGTTAAGCAGAAAAAATATTGATTAAATCCATGTGTGGTGGTATACATTCGTAATCCCAGTATGTGGGGGGAAGTTACTTGGGAATTTTGAGGCTACACTGAAGATCCTGTTGCCTAAACAAATAAAAATCTCCTACCGTGTGTGTGTGTGTGTGTGTGTGTGTGTGTGTGTGTGTGTGTTCTAGATTAATCACAGAAAATCAAATCTTTTAAGTATTCCAGAAATCCTTATAAAACTTTATAAAAAATAAAAATGAATTGGAAAATCCTCATTGAGATTCATGTTTTCCATTAAATAAACAAATATTTTGTGAGTTCTGGAACACCAAAGGAGGGAGAAAATATGCAACCATATATAAGGAAAGACTTTCTGAAAGTCCGATAGAGTTGGGAAATGAATGAGTACCTGGACTTAGTTACTTATGAGACCCTAAGAAAGCCCAACCATTACATTTCCTCATGGTGGCATATTGCAAAATGGAGGTGGCATATTTAAGATTAAGCACTGAGCAAACGGAATACCAAAAGCTGCAAGAGAGAACTACCAACTATATTCAAAGGAACATTCATTAAATGAAGAGCAGCACCAGGAAGGAAAATGAGCAGCAGAACCAGGAAGGAATGGTATTATACATTTCTTGTTTTGAAGAGAAAATAAAACTTACAGCCAGAAATATGTACCCAGCAAATTATTCTCCAGAAATGAAAGAGCAAGGAAAAATATTGTTCTGTCTACACACAGAAAAGGCAGTATCTGCCAGTGTTTGTGTGAAAGATTCACAAATAAGAAGGTTATGAATACAGTTGGCATATTAGTTAGGACTTACTATTGCTGTGGAGAGACACCATGACCACAGCAACTGTTATAAAGAAAACATTTATTTGAGGGTAGCTTGCTTACAGTTTCAAAAGTTCAGTTCTTTATGATTAATTGGAGCATTGCAGCATTCAGGCAGATGTGTTGCTGGAGCTGAGAGTGCTACAGGATGTTGGCTGAAAGTCACACTGAGGGATGCTTGAGCAAAAGAGACCTTAAAGCCTGGATCCACAGTGACTCACTTCCTCCAATAAGACCACACCTTCTCCAATAAGGCCATACCTCCTAACAGCATCACTGCTTTGGGGGTCCACTTTCTTTCAAACATCCACAGCTGGCATGTGAGCATGATGTTGACATTCTTGGAGAAACACAGCGGTCTTGACAGAAATATTTGGCATGCCAGATGTAGACTAGACAAAGATATGAATGTCAGAATGCTGTGGAATAATCTGTGCAGACAACATTGCATGCATTTTGTTGGATAGCCATCATTCATTCAAACTGAGGAACACAGCATACAATTCACTGTGTCTCTCAGAGGCCATGAAAATGCCCCCATTAATGGGACAGCTTAATAGAAAATATTGAATGGGCATTCAAAAAGAATTAGAGTCAAGATAGAAAGATGAAGGCATGCAGGACCAGTTCATACATTTTCCCCAGTATGTTCTCACTCTGTCACTCCTTTGATGAATGTGAAGATGTATTATCAAGGCTGTAGCTACAACACCTAGGAATAGAGATGATTCCAGAGGAAGAGATTCTAAATATGTTTGAATTCTTTGAAGTGTTTGAGGGATATTGGTTGTGCCTTTTCCTAACCTAGCAAAATTTGAAGTAAAAGTGAATATGCAACCTTATCCCAACAAAATTACAGTGTACTTTGTAAATTAATATTCCTGCCTGAATTCTAGTCCAGTACAGTGGCCAATTCTAGTCTCCCTCTTAAACAGAAAAGACTTGGGTATTACAAAAGGCAGCGTGGTATAGCAACTGAAGGTAAATTAAAAATTAAAAGACCACAATATTAACTGGAAACAGACTCATTAACAATTATACCAGATATCAATTTTCTGAAAAATAAGGTTTGGGGAGCAGATGAAAAAATGACAGACTGTGTGCATCAGTGACCACACACTGGAACACCAGCTCACTCGGGATAATGGTAGGTTAGACTAATTATTCGTGACTGGATCAAGCTCTAGAAATGGAAAAGAAATTTTGACTTGCATATGCTTTCAATGGAAAACACTAATGTTTGTGCACAAAAGGAGGAATTAATGGCATTATGCTATACTTACTGTCCTAGCAGTAGAATAGAAAAGCTCATCATTCTCATTCCAGGGAAATTCTGTCCAACTGCACACACACACACAAAATATGCTGCATAGAGAAGCCAAGAGATATCTGAAGAGACAGGCACTTTCCCATCAAGTCTATTAATAATTCTCCCAAAGGGGCAAGTATCCAGTGTCAGAAGTCATCTGCTTTGTGAGTGCATAGTAGAAGAAACACTGTCAGCTTAGATTTGGGGTTTGTGGTTCATTCGAACACATCAAGTGATTAGTCAAGAGAAAAATATGAACACTTGGAAATGGGAAGGGAAGTTATATAGATAATATGATTATATGTATATAAAAGCCTGAAAATTCCCCTTGATTGTTAGGAGAGATTAAAGAAATTCTGTAACTATCAGAATACAAATCAACTTGCAAAGTCTAGCAGCACTTTTATACAACAGTAGCAATCAAAGAGATAAATCAAAAGAACATTCCATCCATTATAGCTCTCAAACATTATACACACGTACACACAAACCTACATGTGCACATTCATGCATGCACACATCCACCCCCACAAAGGAATTTTGATACCTCTAAGTTGAAATAATTAATATTGTTGACAAGGTCATACTCCCCAACATTACTTAGAGATTCAATGCAATTTCTACTGAAATATCAAGGAAATTATTCAAAAACTAGGAAATAAAAACAATTCTAAAATTGACGTGGGAGATATTGACTCCATATAATCAGGAAAGAAAGAAGCAATTCAGATGCATCACAATTCCTGATTTCAAGACAGAGTGTACAGCTATTGTCATTGAAAAGCATGGCATAGTCCTAATGAGAGCACAATGTAACTGAATGAGGCTTCCCCTCTGGAACTTCCTTACTCCTTTCCCCTCCTACTTTGGTGCTTTCCCTCTCAAAACAAAGCTTGTCACAAATGTATCCAGTAACTTTTCACCGATCACTTTAGTCACTGTGGAGCCATTATCTTTAGCAGAGAGCTTGATTTCCCCATCAGGGTTTCAGCAGGCTGATTCCTTTGTAATGTTAGCTCTCTTCTTTGCCATGCATTCAGGCCAGCTCCCTATAATCCTTTTGGAATCCCTGTTCTGTAATGAAGGGAGCTGGCTTTTGGAAGCATCCCAGAACCTTTGACCTAAGATTTACAACATTTACTTAATGACACAAAAGAAAACAAACAAAAGAACATTTTTCAACATCCCCCCCAGAGACTTTCCCCATTGCCATCTAATTTTAGATTGTTTCAGTTCCTGCTGGTGAGGGTCCTGGAAACTACCGTTTCACACAGTCCTGTCAAATTTACAGAATATGTTGGAGCAAGTGGGCTCAACATTAGGTTTGTCATGGTGTTTTGCAGTTTAACCTTTCCCTTTAAAATTTAATCAGCGTTAGAGGAAATAAACACATTTGTTCCCATTGTACACGGGGAGTGATCTCCTCCTCCGTTTCCCAATGATAACCAGGTTCTGGATATCTGCTTTTTACTGCAAAGGGTCAGGTTGACTCCCAAAAGAGTGTGCCAATGATTTCTACCAGGCTGAAGGTAATTGCTTATAAGATCAAACCAAAGGCTGAACCCTAATTTAGGACTATCTTTAGGACTCACAAGATAACTTAGGGATGAAATAGCTCATAAGAAAGAAAGTTGATATTTTACCTGAAATAGAATTCAGAAGGAAACATTGTTCTGGGAGGGGACTATGGAACTTATGGATCAAAAGGCTGCTACAAAGCCTAGAATTTATTTTGAACAATGTATGAGGATACAATTAGAGAAGAAGTGAATCTAATTATCCAAAACCTACTGTTCTTGTTAAGCTTTCTTCTCTTCTGTATTCAAACAACAACCAAATGCAGCTCTTCTAGAAAGGGCTTTAAGGACTCCCATTCCTTCTTTTTGTTCATTCAGAGAAGCTAACATCACTAAATGATTAGGGTGATTCTCTATCCAGATTGTACATGACACATCAGAGACCAGGCAGATACTTAATGTATATACTATTCACATTTAATGGATCTATATTTGGTGACATGAGAACTAAAATCAGAAGTTTCCCTTATTAATGTTAGAGGAGAAATTATCAGGAGAAAGTGAGTGTTTCAATTACTCTACTCTGTACAAGGATGAACAAGAATGAGTAATAACCCCATATATTATCTCCTCTCTTCCTCCTTTCCCTCTTGGTCTTTCTCTCTTTCTCTCTCAAATTGATGTCAATCCCTAGTTCAAAAAAGGTCTCAAGTAAGGCAGGTATAATTAGTCTTGGATTATATGTTGAGATGTTTCTTTTCCCATCTAAACTTTTCTACCAATTGCTGAATTCATTTTAAAGAAAATTTAGCAAATGGGACACTACACACTCTATGAAAAAGCTTTACTTACATGTAAAATAGTTGTCCAGTTTTGTACATAGCATTTTCATGGTTATTGGGTTTGTGCATTCAATAGCTATATCTCATGTTAACCTCCTTGTTTTTTTTTTGTGTTGTGACTGAAATAAAGAGTTGATGACTGAAAGCACTTTGAAAATGTAAGTGCTGACCACATACTAATCTATAAATGTATGTAATTATATTAAATTAATATTTCAGTTAAAAATTGTTTTGTAAAGTAGCTAATTCTTAAATTCTGAGACAATTAAAACTTAAGAGTTCAAATATCTTGCTTAATCAAACAAAGTAAGCCTAAATTAATGCTTCTCCTTCTCATGTCCCTGGTGTTCTCCTTCTCTCTAGGTACACTCAACACACATATGACGAGGTCTGCATGTTGGTACATGTGCTCAGTCCTGCAAGCCTTGTTTATAGGAAGGGTGTTTGCTGGAATTATGTTATCATTGGCTAACTCCATGTTCTCTGGGTGGGGTTCCTGTTTGCAAGTACCATTCCCATTTTAGGCTTCTTGCCTTTTGCTTCTCTTCTCCATCTTCACCCTACTCCATTGTTCAACTGTAGATACAAGGAAAATGTCAGTGTAGTTTAAAAAGAACAACAAAACAAAATAAGAAACACACATGCATACACAGTTGAGCCTTTGTATATTTCCTTCGAAAACCAGATAGCTTTTCCATACACCTTCTTCCCAGATAGTAGGCATGCCATGGAGCCTGCTTCAGGTAGTATTAAGATTCTTTTAAAATTCCAATTAGGACAATTAAGGACAAGTAGGAAACACCAGATCTTCTGAAAAGAATAAGACAGGCTTTCAATTCCATTTTGAGAGTTTCATGATAGAAATGAAATACCAGTGCATTTTGGTTCAGTTGTCAATCCCAGAATATCAATGATTATTGTGGGGAAGAAGGCCTTTCTCTCCACAGACTTGCTAACCAGAAAAGAAGCTCATTTCACTTGTAGTATTTTGTTTTATTTTGCTTATTTGTCTGTCTATATGTAGCCTGGATGTATGTGGGTGTCTATAGAGACCAGAAAATGATATCAGTAATCCTGGCGCTGGAGTCACAGTTGGTTGTGGGCTATCTGAAATGGGTACTTTGAACCACACTTTGATCTTCATGATCACTTTTCACCACAAAGCCAGCTATCCAGACACTTATTCCATCTCTTGATGTGCATGGACTCAAGAAAGTACAATTATATGTAGACGAAAGTCCAGAAGTAAGGAGAACTTCTTGAGAAAATTTCAGTTGAGTATCTATTAACATCTTTGCTACTATGTTTTTATTGACCAAGACAAGAGGCATCTCTGCCTCTTTAATGAATAGTCAGTTACCAAGTAATTGTTGGGATCCGGAACAGAAGGAAATGTGACTCTGCTATTCTTGACTTCAGTCAAGAATCTTCCTGTTCCCTCAGCAGAAACCATCATCCTACTGCCCTTGAGACAACCTTTCCTGCTAATGTTTCTTCATCAAAAATGAAGCAGCAGTGGAAAGCCTATCCTAAATGCCCTTCTCCTATAGTGAGATTGATAACTACCTTATATACCATCCTAGAGCCTTCATCCAGTAGTTGATGGAAGCAGAAGCAGAGACCCACTAAGCTGAATTCCAGGAATACAGTTGTGGAGAGGGAGGAATGATGAGCAAAGGGGTCAAGTCCTGGCTGGGGAAACCCACAGAAACAGCTGAACTGAA